ATTAATGTAGAATTTGGCACAAAGTCCTTTCCATTCGTCCGAAAAATTCTCATTTTAATGCCAATCAATCATAGGATAATAGCATTGAACTTCATGGTACCTCAAGTTGTTTGCCACGCATCCACGAGATGCTGCCTTAACCCAACTAATCCAATCCATATTAGCTCAAAATGTAATGACATTATGGCAATACACTTGGGCACACCAAAGATTTTAGACTAGGTTTCACTAGAATCTAGATATGAACTCAATCCAACTGATCCTAACACGGATGCTATATTCTCAGTTTGGAATAAAGATACTAAACCCGCTATGTAAGGTTCTGAAAATAGGGAAATACTAAATTTTTCATGGCATAACTAAGTAGCTAAGAAGGAAAAAAGGGCACTTGGGTTTTGAATAATAAAGTTTATGACTTTAAAGCTCGATTAGCCCCATAAATTCGGGTTGACACCCAATCAATACATTTTCATGGATTCTTTCCAATAAATCCATCATCATTTTAACGTGCAACACTACTGATGACTGATTGAAGTCATACTAGTAAATGGCAAATCCTATAAATGTATGCTTTATGTTTAATTTAATAGAAAAAAGGAAGAAATTTCTCCAAGTTTTGAATCTTATTAATGCATTACATTTATTTAGGATAAGTAAATCAATTTCCCCCAAATTTTATCTAAATTTCTAGCTTTATTCAAGACCCAATTGACAAATGATTCTGAATTAAAAAAATTAAGAAATGGAAATGAAATTAATCACTTCTATGGAAAAACCTTAGAAAAGAAAGGTAAAGGAAATGAGAGAATACCGCTAATGAAAAGCTTGGGGGAAGTGAGAGTCGAATTCAGACGAATCGAAGAGAACTGAGAGCAGATAGAAGAGGTTCCGGTTAAGACGCGGCGGAACCGGGAAATTAAAGCCATCGGAATGGAGGCAAATAAGAGGTGGAGCAGACGATGGTTAGAAAGATAAGCAACGGACCTATATTAGGGTTAAGAGTTTTAGATGTTGAAACGAACAACTTTTTTTTTTTTGATAAAGTATTATTATTATTATTATGCTCTTGATTTGAACAGAACATTGCGTATTAAATAGTAATCCAATATAAATATGGGAGTGTAACTTAATATTTATTAGATTTTATTTATTGAATATTTAATTTTAATGTAGTATATTTTTTTCTGTATAAAAAGTAATGGAAAATAGTATTTGCATATAAAAAATTTATATTAAAAATCCAATTAAAGACTTTTTTAAGAGGAGTCAAAGATTTATAAAGTGTAATAAAGTATTTATCAAAATTTAATTAATTATAGTATAATATAAATATAATAATAGCGTAAGTTTTTATGATATGTAATTGAAGACAAATATAAAGTAATAAAATATTTAAAAATTATCAATAATTATAAAATATTTAAAAATTATCAATAATTATAAAATATTCATCTTGTAATAAATAAATATGATGACATCAAAATAACATCAACGAAAGAGTAAGCTACAAAAGTAACTCTAATAATCATCATGTAGTTGATAGATACAAGAACATCATTAGCATTAGTCTTACGAACTAAAAGGGTCATCAATGTTCTAATGAATGCCTTGAGAGGTGTCCTACGTAAGTAGGGAGGCTAATAGAGTTGCTCACACGTTAGTACATTATGCTTTATCAAATCACAATCTAATTTAATTTTTTTTTTGATGAACCTGATTATATTAAATAACTTATCATTGATGATGCTATTGGAATATAAGTTATTCTTCCTTAAAAAAAAATAATGCCTTCAGAGAGAAATATGAGCCCTTCGTGTCCGCAGGTCCATGCCAACGTACATTGCTTGTTTAACGAAGTGTTGTATTAAAGGATTGGAAGTCTCATAATCCCATGTCGCCTGTCCTTTTCCGATGATCACCCTTCAAGGGTAATTATTAGAACATTTTTTCACGAATTAAAAAAACAAGTGTCACATTAATGTCAAACAAAAGAGAACCCATTAATTATTCAATTTCATTAATGTCACAGTCTTCTTTCGGTTGAGATCGGAATTGAGTTTCGACTTAAAATAAAGTGTGTTAGAGTCACCACCGATCATTTAAAAACTATATTTAAGTAGATCGGACACCATTTTACATGATCTGCGTTCTACCAGAAATGTGTCGGGTTCGAGAGTCGGTTACACCCAAAGAAGGATTAACACCCTTGTATTGCCCTTTCGATATCACTTAATTTTTCGATTGTCTTTAATTATGAAAATTAACAATTTAAATTGAAATTTAAAACATTCGATTTGAATTGCTTACATTTAATCTATTTGAATTACTACTGAAAAAATATGTTAGAAAAAAATAAAATAAAAATAAATATGAAAAAAGAAAGGAAAAACGTTAATATAATAATAACAATAAAAATAAAAATAGATAAATAAAGATAAATAAATTTAGTAAAAAGAAAAAAATAAAATAAACAAATAAAGAAAATTTATAAAATAATAAAGTAAAAAATATAAAAAGAAAAAAATATAAAAGACGTTAAAAGAGGAAAGAAAAAATGAAATTAAAGTGAGGAAGAAAATAAATAATAAAATAATAAATAAATAAATAAAAATTATAATAAAATGAAATAAGCAAGAACATGGAGGACTTAAACAATAATTAACCCCTAGCTAAAAAAGCACATATTCCTGATACCTTGAAGACTCCACGTGTGTAATTCATTAAAAAAACAAAGTTTTAAGGGTTAGTTTGATATTAAAGAAATATGAAAAATAAAAATAAAAGGTATGGATTGGACACGTGAAATGCATATGGGTGTTCTTTTTCTTCTTCTTCCATTATCACAACCACTGTTTTTTCAATCCCCAGCTTCTACTCCTCTGCTCCGGGCTTCGCGATAACCAAACAAAAAAACTCGAACCGATACAAACTGAAATCTAATGCCTTCTTCAAATCTTTGTTTTAGCAATCAACTTAATTTCTTGGTTTGCAAATTGCATGGTTGACAATCTGTGAAGTGGAAAGGGGAAAGCTTTCGGCGAACAGAGTTTCCTTTTTGGGCGTTCGAAACCTTTGACTTAAGATGAAGTTTTGGAGATGTGGGGAATATGATGAGCTGCTTCATTTGGTAATGTCGGATTCAATGGCGTCAAATAATTTGTGGTGGTTCGCATTGAGCTCTTTCACCCACCCGTTGGAACCATTTTCTCCTCTTCCTTGGTATGGTGAGGGGTTTAAATAGCGTCATGCGAGGGAAGAATCCGATGGAAACCAAACACTGGATTTCTGGAGATTTAGAGGAGGTTGAGTTGTAGTAGAACCTGATTTTGTGGGAAGGGTGGTTTTTTCTAGTTATTTTTTTAAAGATATAGTAGTGATAGAGTCCTCCTAGTAGAAGAGGGACTCTTTCAGTAACAGCATGGTAGTAATTATTGTTGGGTAGTGTTTGAGTGAGTGAGAAATAATCAATGGAAATATGAGTTAAAAAACCTGCAAAAATAATAATAAAGATAATAATAATAATAATAATAAATAAATAAATCAATAATAATATTTTTTAAACCTAGATAAAAACGGGTGTCTACAGCTGTATCTCTTTACACATTTTTGTGTTAACAAGAATAAGGCAAATATGAAAAATACAACAAGTTTTTGTTCGGTTCTCTTTGATCTGAGACTTGATAGTGTTTGTTGTGACACTAAGTCGATTAATTGGGCACGATATCCTTATTCGTGAAGTTGAAATCGTGGGTGACTCATTCGTTGTGAAGTTGAGTTGAACTCAAAGTATTGGGAAGTAGCTCCTGGATTGTCTTCTAGCCAAATATACTTTGTTGTGAAGTTGAAATTTGACCTGAATGAAACAGATTTTTCATTGTTGTGTCACAGATGACTTATTCGTCGTAAAGTTTAGTCAGTCTTGGATACGATATCCTTCGTTGTGAAGTCGAAATCGTAGGTAAATCAAAAAGTGTCTCTTTGTTACCAATCTTGGTCGACCTTGGTCTTCTTCTCGATTTAAAGACATGTGTGTGAAAATTTGACCGGAAAATAATTTCTTTCTTATGCAATGCGATTGATATGACCGCATGTTCATCTGCACAATTTGCACAATTTGCACAATGCCATTCACCTTCAGGAAGGTGCTCCAGGTTCAAACAAGCTGCAAAAAAAAAAAAAAATCAATAGTATTAATGATGAAAGAAAACTTTACACCAAAAAGAAAATCCAGTAAAAATAACAGTACCAAATGTATTTTACAGCTAAAATGATGCAAAATGTAACATGTGAAGAGATTCACATCAGCCATTTATCTTATGAAAATAATTTGTACAAAGACAGTCATGATCATCATTGGCATGAAAGCATAAACGTAACTAGAGTTCCAAACGCTGAACCACATGCTACATCTAGTTAATGAATTGGTCACATGAAGATCATTTGATGCTGGCCACTCAATTGAATTTTTGCCACACCAACAATAAATAAAGGCCCTATCTAAACAAAAAAATAAACGAAACACCTAAAAATAAAATAAATTACTGACTTGGATGGAAAGCCTGAGGGCATTCAGAACAGAGAAGCAGATCTCCAGCATCTCCACACACTGCACATGTATCATCACTGGAACCAGTTGTAACACACTGCCCATTTGCTAATGACAAAGCTATATCATGAAGCGTCAATCCATTAGATGTATATATGTGCCGATACCTGTGTAAAGAAAGAAACTTGATAAAGGACTCACGCCAAATAAATAAATAAATAACAAAAATCATTGATGAGAGAGGTAGTCTAGCATAACATTGTTGATGAATTAGAAATGCACCTCTCTCTCACAACAGCAACATGCTATACCATTTCCCTGCTTGTAGCCCTTCAGTAACTTCTGAAAAACACATTTAGAGGTCTGGTTAGCACCACTACTAGGAATAAATTGATGCTAATCAACCATATTGTATCCAATAAAATATTGCACCTGTCCTTAGATAAAGTAGGTTAATTTTGCTCCATCTGGAAGCCCATTTGGCATAAAAAGTAACCGGTGTAAATCATTATCCCTGCCAACAATTTGAAGAAGTTCCAGTTTAAATCAGGCAGATCTAAGATTTGCAAAGAGAGGGAGAACAATATGATATGCCATAGAATACCTTTTCTTCATGCCACCATCAGTTTTCTTTCGCATCATGACTGAGTTCGGCCTACTAAAGGTAGAACATCAGTGATGTGTGAGTTTGAGTACAAAGAGAACAGTGCTAGTAATAGCCCTCTTTTGGAATAAGTCGTCATCATGCAATCTTGTAAATTAGTCTAATAAATTTCCCTCCAACAACTCCTATGAGAACTAAAGCTAAAAGGTATACATGACATCCAAATGCTAGATTCAACTCCACTAAGCACCCAGATAAAACCATCAGGGCAGAATCCTTATCCAAATTGAAAGCCCAGATAGTTCAACAAAACCATCCATCGGACAAGGACACTATAGAAAAATTAACAGTTGAAACAATCAAAAGATTATAGAAATGGAAATCAACAAAACTTCATATTTACCTTATCGAATTAGGCAAACTAGGAGGTTTCATGTTATATATCCTCTCACCTTGAACATTTAAGTTACTTTACTGAAGACTAGGTGCGGAATATAACAGCATGTTTGTCGCAACCGTCTTTCGGGTGGGCTCGAAATTGATATTCGACTTGAATAAAAAAAGTTGGAGCCGCCACCGATCATTTATTTATTTTTTGTAAAAAATTTGGATGATTGGATACCATCTTACCTAATCTGAGTTTTACCAGAAATGTGTCGGATTCGGGAGTCGGTTACAATCAATGAAAGATTATCACCCTTGAACTGCCCTTTCGGTACCGTTTTAATTTCTCAGTTGTTTTAACTACGAAAATTAAAATTAAAAAACTCGATTCGAATTACTTACCTTTGATCGATTAAAATCATTCCTAAACAACGTTAAAAGAGTTAAAGGATAGAATAAAATAAGATAAAATAAAAAGGTTAGTATTAGAGTTGAAATAAAATATTAAAGAGAAAAAAATAAAGTAAAATTAAATAAAATTGAATAAATAAAAGAAGTGAAAGAAAATTTAAATTAAAAGGGTTTAAAACAAAAAATATGAAGGACCAAATTCAATTAATCGAAATATGCAAAGAGAAAAGTCAAAGTCAGAGGATTAAATTACAAAGATTATGAAAAATAAATAAGGACTAAATTGAATTAATTTAAAATTTCAAGGCCAATTTATAGCAGGTGACCAAACTGGAATACGCATCAAAACAAGGGGCACGGCGGAAAGGATTTAAAAATCCTTTAATTACACAAAGGTCCCTGGTATATAAAGGCTTACTCCCCCCAATTCCCATATCATTTTCTCATTTCCCTCAAAATTACTCTCCCTTCCTTTCTCAAAATTCTCTCCAACACTCTCCCTACCAATTGAATATCGACCAACCTCCGATGAAACCATCTGTCGCCGACCGCCGCTAATCACCCCCCGGCCGCCGCCTCTGGTGGCAGGAAAATTTAAAATCACCCCCAAAAAATTCCTCTCGACATATCAAGACCAAAATCAAACCCCAAATCGCCTAAAAACCACCACAACAACGTAGATCTAAAAGTAAAACTCTCGAGTTTTACCTTTTTCGGCAAAACTTTTCTTTTTTTTGGCGACCATTCTTCTTCCGACGCCAGATCGACAATAACTTTGAGTTCCTTTTTGATTTGCTTGCAATTTTGCGAGTGGTTTGTGTTGTTGTTTCAATTTTTTTTGCTAGTTATGGTGTTTGATTGGGTTTTGTTGGTTATGGTTGCTTGATGCTCCGGTGATGCTCGATTTTTTCGTTGTATTTCTGTTGCTTAGCTGCCTCTTGTTGTTGTTTTTTTGACAGATTTGGTGGGGTATTTATACCCCACCACCGGTGCTTTGTTTCCGCCTTCAACGGGATGTTCCCATTATTTTTGGGATGTTCAATCGTTCGTGCGACCGATCATCTCAGGATGGTTCAGTCCCGGGAATTTCGGTCGACTAATTCTTCTTTGATTGGGACTTTGGTTGCCTGACCGTTGGATTGGGTCATATCCAACGGTCCAGATCTGATGGCGCAGCCATGCATCTCTTTAGGGTTTTGTTACCCTCGATTTATTTTAATCTCGACCATTAGTTCGTGCTTTGATCCTACGATTCCTGTCTGTGCGGCGCTGTAGCTAAATGTAACAAAACCCTAATCTGTTGGGCCTCTGGGTTTGCTTGCGAGGTCAGGCTAACTTACCCGATTGGGCTTCCTCACACCCTTGTTGGACTTAGACCTAAATAAAAATAAATAATAAACAAACAAACAAATGAATAAAAAAGTATATAAAATATATTTCGAAAAACATTTTCGAAGCCTTTACATATGATATATTTTCAAAAACGTTTTAAAATTATATATTTTATATATTTTCAAAATGTTTTCAAAAACTATATATTATATATAAAAACTATATATAATATATATATTTTCAAAATGTTTAAATATATATATATATATATATTAAATAACACCCCGGGCGAAAATGAGTGACTACAACTGCCCCTCTTTGCCTATTATCGTGTAACAAAAATAGGGCAAAGACAAAAAAGGCACAAATTTTCTTTCGGTGCCTATGAGCAGTTTGCTTCTGTAAGAATGGTTGACTTTTGAGCTTGAAATTCAACTTAAGGTTGTCGTTGTATTCTTATCAACTGCCCTCCACTGTGGAATCGAAAATGAGGGGATGTCTTTCTGTTGTTGAGTCATATTGTGGATGACCCAGGAGTTGTCTTTGAACAATGATATCCTTCATTGTGAAGTTGAAATCGTAATTTGAAATTTGAATCGGAATATGGCTTCTTATTGCCAATCTTAGTCAACCTTGGTCTTCTTCTCGGTTTAAAGACCTTGGTATGGAAATTTGACCAGAAAATAGTTCTTTTCTGCTACCTTGTGGTAAATACGTCCTCGAGCTGAATGGAATCATACTCGAAAGTTCTCGTTGATGGATAACTCTTCTCGCTTTGAGTTATGTTGTACTAGGCTGGGAAATAACCCTTGTTGTTGCAGATGACTCATTTGTTGTGACACTAAGTCAATCCATTGGGCACGATATCCTTCTTCGTGAAGTTGAAATCATGGATGGTTCATTCCCTGTGAAGTTAAGCTTTGAACTGGATGTCCTTCATTGTGAAGTTGAAATCCAATCTTGTAAATTGCATCGCTTCGAGTTCAATATATTTCGCTGTGAAGTTGAAATTATAGATGACTCATTCACTGTGAAGTTGAGCTTTGAATTGGATGTTCTTAATTGTGAAGTAGAAATCCAATATTGTAAATTGCATCGCTTCGAGTTCAATATCTTTCGCTGTGAAGTTGAAATTTACTCTAACAAGAATCTGCAAAATTACTCATATATGTGATGCTATGGATGCAATGTTGTTATAAGTGCCTATAATGCATATGTGAAATATGTTATTTTAGGATTTAGAGAGAACTCTCAATCTCTGGTTGTCAGTCTTAATGACTCTTGATTCTAGAATCTTGAATTTATGATTCTTGATCTTTGATTCTTCAACATGCTTAAATCCGATGTACAAAATTTCATTTATAGTCTTGGTTTGGGCAATGCCTTTCAGTTATCTCAAGTATGGTGCATAAGCCTTGATCGGCTTCTGAATATCTCTACTTTTTAAAAAAATCTTTGTACAGTAACACGCAATTATCTTCTGAATAAATCATTTAAATTCAATTCAAGATGCTCCTCTAAACTGATACACCGTTAGATGACTTTTAAGTACAACTTTTATTAAAGGGACTTCGAAAATGTGACAATGTCCCGAAGAGTGCAAAGTTCTTTCGAATTGCTGAGTCTACGAAAGACTTGGATGTCGTGATGCTTTTTACTGCTTGGACCCGAGACCTTTCCTGAATTATTATCTAAATTTCCCTTTCGAGTTTTTAATTCGGATTCATCATTGGTTTCAAGTCGCCCTTTTTGATTTTTCGTCTTGGACCCACCTTATTTTCTTATTTTTTTCCTTGTTTTATAATTTAGGGTACCCTTTCGGGTTTCACTCTAAGCGAAATATTTTTTGACTATATCCGAATTAACGTGATTTGGTAGTTCTAGCCCATCCATTTTAGTCTAAATCAGTGCTCCTCCGGAGAAAGCCTTCTTAACTGCATAAGGTCCTTCCCAATTTGGCATCCATTTTCCTCTGTAGTCTTTTTGTATTGGCCAGACCTTTTTCAGTACAAGATCTCCTTCTTGGAATACCCATGGGGGCACTTTCTTGTTGTAAGCTTGGATCATTCGTTTTTGGTAGAGCTGTCCATGATAAATGGCTTTCAACCTCTTTTCTTCTATTAAGTTCATTTGATCATATCGGGATTGCATCCATTCTGCATTATCTAGTTTGACTTATGACAAAACTCAAAGTGACGGGATCTCTGCCTCAATTGATAATACTTCCTCTATCCTATATGCCAATGCAAATGGGGTTGCCCCAGTCGAACTCTGTACCAAGGTTCGGTAAGCAAACAAAGCGAAAGGAAATTTCTCGTGCTAATCTTTGTATGTCTAGTTATTTTCTCCACTATTTTCTTGATGTTTTTGTTTGCTGCTTCTATTGTTCCATTCATCTTTGGTTTATAAGCATTACAATTATGATACTTTATGTTGAATTGTTCACAAGCAGCGTCCACCATCTTATTGTTCAAGTTTGTAGCATTATCAGTAATGATTCTTTCGGGTAAACTATGCCGACATATGATTTCTTTTTTCAAGAACTTGCAAATAGTGGCCCCAGTGACATTGGCATATGATGTAGCTTCCACTCATTTTGTGAAATATTCGATTGTCACGAGAATGAACCAATGACCATTGAAGCCTTTAGATGAATTTGCCCTATAACATCCATGCCCCAGATAGAGAAAGACCATGGCACTGTCATTACATGAAGAGGTTGAGGTGGAACATTAATTTTATCCCCATAGATTTGACATTTATGACATCTTCTAGTATAATTGATGCAGTTGCCTTCCAATATGGACTAGAAATATTAGCATTTCATAAATTGCCTTGACATCTTATGCCCATTCGCATGCGTTCCGCAAACTCCATCATGTACCTCTTCCAATATCATCTTTGCCTCTTCAGCATCAACACATCTCAGTAGTATTTGATCACGACTTTTCTTGTATAGGACTCCCCCATCAAGAATAGATCCAGCCGCCATTCTTCTAATAGTTCTTTTGTCAGTTTCAGTGGCTTCCTCTGGATAACTTCGGTTTTTGATGTATTGCATAATATCGTGGTACTAGGGCTTATTGCCTTTTATTTCTTCGATTTGGTAACAATGAGGAAGGTACTCATACGACTGCATGTGATGCAATCATGCCAAGTACCAAACTTCTTCAACACATGATCACTTCATAGACGTTCTGCCTTGTTGATTCTAAGGGAGTCTTACCTTATTTTATTATTTATTTACTCATTTATGCATTACATGTCACGTGAATATGTTTATCTTATTCTTAATTTTTGCTTGAATATTATATGATG